TATATACTATATATATAAAATAAAAATTAAAGATTATCTTTTGCAGGTAGAAATAACATGGACAATGCCTTTACCACCCGATTTTTATAACAGTAAACCTCATGAATATATCGCATGGATTATTAGACATGGAGGAAAAGGTTCTTTAACAAGTTATCTACGTAAAAAAATGCCATGTTTATGTGATAATGTTCAATGTAACAATGAAACGTTCTTAAGATATAATTGTATATATATTATGTTGAAACTTACTGTAGTGCTCTTCTCTGAGAAACAAGAACATTTGAAGGAAATTTTAGATGCAATATTTTCCTTTATTAATTTACTAAAAAAAGATGATCCACATAAAAGGACTATTTACTATGACTTTTATAAAATAATGGAATATAATTTTAGGTAAATTTATTTTAGAAATATGTATAGAAACATATAAATAATATATAAATAATTGAAAAAAAAGTCACAATTTATGTATGTGAAACAATTTGAGGTCTTTTTAGATTTATTAATGAAGAAGATTCTGTGCATTATGTAATAAATTTGTGTAAGGGTATGCATTTCTATCCACCACGTGATTATATAACTGCAAATAAGCTTATTTGTATTGAGTACAACCCAGAAGCTATACAAAAGTGTTTGAATTATATGAAGCCAGAGACCGCGATTATTACTGTTTTGCAAGAAAAACCTCGTCCTTTGACTTTAGATTGTAATGAAATTCAGACTCATTGGAACGAAAAGGAATGTATATACATCGAAGTTCCAAAGGAATATATCGAACAATGGAAATCCATTGAGCCGTTGCCAAATTTTTATTTACCATTAAAAAATGTATTCATTGCCAGCGACTTCTCTTTAATATCGACATCAGAAAAAGATTCGAAGTATCCTGTAGAAATATACAACGATCATATATCGGAAATTTGGTATTGCCCGAATCTCAAATTTTGTTGTTTGCCGAAATGTTATATAAATTTTCAATTTATTTCCCCTTTAGGATTTCAGTCGCCAAAGAAGTAAGTAAAAGCATGGAAAGTATAATAATAGATACTACTTCGTAATAATAAGTACTATTGTATTATATATACTGATCCTATATATGTGTGTAATATATAAAATATATGCGAATTTCTAATTACTTAGTGAAAATTTTTTTCATATTTTTTGGACACATTGGAACAAGTTACGACATTTTTTTAAAACTGAGAAGGCGAATATATATTTCTTAGAATTTTTCATAAATATGAATTATGAAATATTCTAAATTTTGAATTTTTTAATTTCTCAAAAAATACTTTATCTTTTCAGATTTTGTAAGACTTTGTCAGAAATTATGGAATGAAAAATCTTAGATATCTTAACATTTTAGAATTCATATATATGAAGAATTAAAAAAAAAATGCGTGTGCGCGATCATGTGACTTGATAGATTTTCTCGACATTTCCGAAAAGTGTTTCAATCTGTATATAGAAACTGAGAAATTTTTTAAAATGTTACAAATTAATCAAAAATTCTAAGTAAATCTAAAATTTCTATAAAAATTCTAAAAAATTGTATAAAAAATTATAAGAAGAATTGTTAGCATAGTGTAATTGTCAATCTGTGATATTTATATAATTTTACATTTGTATCTTGATGAAAGAGAGAAAAACATTCACGTTTATGACATTTCAGTGCCGTTTTTATGGAAATGTACTGTCGTGTATTAAACCTACTTTTGTTCGAAGAATTATATCCAGCTGTGGTAGCTGGATTTGAATATTATATTTATACCAATGAGAGAGGTATTATAATCAAAATAAACGGGTTCACCGAAAAGTTGCCCGTAAGTATGAAATCAAGCGTGTGTTGGAGTTAAAAATATGATTAGCAATAAAATATTAATGAGAATAACAATGTGATAATGTAAGCGCAAATTTCAAATATATTTCGTATTTAATAATTTCGTACTTTTCGATCATTCTCAGTATTTCGATCACTTTCTCTTCTTTAATCTCAAATTTTTAGTTTTATATTAAATTTTATTTGTGATTCCAGAAAGTATCGTGATTGTAATGTCATAATTAATTTGTCACAGTATTTGTTAGATTTAAATGAGGACAAAATTAAAAAAGACAAAGTTAAAACCATAATTTTTTGTTGATAATAAATAAAACATGAATTTTATTTCTAACTTTTTTTAAATTTAAATAATAAAACTAGTATGAAATTTTATCTTCTTTAATTTTCCAACATGATTGCGGAATTTTATATTGTTAAAGAAAGATATAACTACTATATTTCTTATGTTTCTAGTTCCGAATTCTCCATCCATATTTTCTTTAATTTAGTATTTATTTAAATGTTACAATCATCATTAGTATAAAATTAATTATGGCACAATTAATTACAGCTGCGATTCTCCCTGGATTCAGGAATAAGAATGAGATTAATATGAGAGAAAAATTGTTTGCTAAAAATTGATGGCTCGAAACGTAGCCAAAACTTTTGACATTGTTAATGGAATATGAAATACGTATACATACATATACATAAAATGCTCTAAAATTTCCGCGTTGATAATCTCACTAGCCTTTTTTATTGTTAATTATGTTTTTAATATCAAAAATGCTTATTATTATTATTTCTTCTTATAAATATACTTTCGAGATACATTATTTTACTTTTTGCAGCACTTGTTGATAACTATTGCAAAATACATAGTTGACTATCTAGCACGTATTACAAATTCTTTATTTGAATCTTGCAAAGTGCAACTATTAGATAAGGGATTTTATAGTAAAGCATTTATGAATCCACATATATTTATCAAGTACTGGTTATTTATTATTAAGCGTAATTATAACAATTATAAAATTTTTACGTAACTAATAGAAACAATTCATGATACATAATAATTATAACAATTAATATTCTAAAATGAAATATTAAATTACATTATATTTCTGCTGATCAATTTCATGCTGCTGATTCAACTTCCTTTCTGCTTTTTTACAGTGACGTAAAATTATCGATATTGAATCTTGTTTATTATACATACGTCGACAAGCATACTGCTCTGTCTAATATAAATTTTGGAGAATTCCAACGCTTTGTTAAATCCTTTACTGATCAATTATACATCCAATGTTTCGTGCAAGGTAACATAATGCCGGACGATACATTCGCGATCATACGGGAATGTCTCGGAATAATAAATTGCGGTCCCTTGCTTAATAGTACAATACAACAGATGAGAGTCATGCAAATACCTTTGGGCATAAGCTGTTGCAAATTAAAAAATATAGACAAAATGAATACAACTTCCATAGTGATAAATTATTATCAAATTGATGTTGCATCTTTTAAATTATCGATATTACTCGATCTGATGATGGTAAGTATTAAATAACATCGTTTTGTATATTTTTGGAGTGCATTGCAATTCTCAGTTTATATTTATTTGTATTTTATAAGTATCTATTATATATTTATGTATTTTTATGTATTATTATGTATTTATTATATATATGAATTATCTTATTCATCTGTACCTGTTTTCAGGAAATAATGTCCGAAAAGTTACATAATTGGGAAATAGATAAAACACAGCTGTTTAAAGTTGCATCGTGTGACTTGGAGTATATTAACGGAATTTTAGGATATTCCATTACCATCTATACTAAGGCAAATAAATGCACAACCAAATATATGGATGAGCAGATCGAGACATTTTTGCAATTGTTTAAAGAGGTTTTGAGAAATTTACAGGAAAATGATTTGGATAATTTTAAGACGATGCTAATGATTGCAAAAAAGCATGAATATACTGATAATGTTGTTAAAAATGTAGTTAATAGAAACTGGATTGAGATAATGAAGGGGGAATACATTTTTGACAGATACGAGAGAGAAGTGTCTGCAATAAATGACATAAAGGTCGACGATCTAAAAAAATGTTTTGCAAAGAATGTAATTGGAAGTAATTTTAAAAAATTAAGCATACATGTAGTAGGAAATAATCCAGGGGAAATTGCAATCGAAAAAGAAAATAGTGAGTATATAATTTTTTAAATTTATCTATTTCTGATTCTGTAATATCATTTTTCTGATTCTGTAACAGTTTTTGGTTTTCACTTTTTGTTATTGTATTATATCCAAATTGGTGAGACAATTACAATTAAAAATGTTAATTGTTATAGTTGAGAATCCTAAGACAGAGCACTTTACTTTGGAATATATAAGCGATGGTCAGAAAATTGGAGATTATCACATTAATGATATAGAAAGCTACAAGAAATATCTTTATGTCTATCCTTTCAAAACAGAGTTAACTTATTAACAGTAACACACATCACAGAATGTCTTTAAAACGTTTCTTGGACACTATATTGTGCAAGAATAATGTATTGAAAATAAAATAATAAATTGTATTGCTTTGTGAAAATAAAGTTCTGTTTTAATTATTGATATTTAATGTTAATAATAATAATTGAGGAATGTCAGATATTGAAGGATCTTATTTTACAGAAACTATACTTTACACACTATACTTTGTTAATACTGATTTATTTAAATTAGTAGAGAAGTGGAATACCGTAATGTATACATTTATGACTTGTTTCTATGCGAAATAGCAATTGCTATTGTTTAATATTATTTGTTAAGATATTTTGCTCATTAAAGATTTAAACAATTTTATGAACACATTAGTAGATGAGAGAATTTGAATAATTTATTAACAATATTCATATTTAGTACATTTCATACTTAGCACAATTACAAAATAGGTATACAAATTTATAAGTTGCTGAATCATATACTGAAATTGATAAAAAATATTAGTCTAATAATTCTATTTTAAGTTACAATAGATTATCACATTAATTTGTAACAATATATACAGGATATAACAGGGCAACTGTATATCAGGTTCGTTTTTAAAAAATGTGCATTTTCTTGAAAATTGTTCCAGATAAAAGTTGTAGCATTTTAAGTGACGCATTAGACAAAAATATTAGTTTGGAGAGCGTTGAAATAATGTAAAAATCACTTCATAATTTAAAAATAGGGATTTTCATTAAAAAATTTTAAAGTATAATTTTTATGAATTTAATATGATCTCTCTGTTACATTCTGTATACGTATATATTATCACATGGCCTTGTATAATATATAAAAATAATAAAAATAACATTTTTACTATATTCACATTTCCCTATATTATAACAATGTACATATATTGTGGGTTATAATTTATGTATATATTTTAAAAGGTTATGTATATTTTTATATAAATTTTTAAATCATTTTTATTATTGAAAATTTTTATTATTGAAAATTAGTAATTTATATCAACCAGTTTTAAAATATTTTTTGATACATTTTGATACTCTCAAAAAATATTTATAATTACTTACAAACTAAAAGAAACATTATTTGAAAATTTTTAATAAGAATTAATTAAAATCCAATATTATTAAACTTTAGTTAAAGTTAATATAAGTTAATTTATGTTTAAAAGATAAAGAAATTTTTCTGGAAAAATTATAAATAGAAATAAGATGCATTAAGATTGATGTAAGAAATAATTTTAATCTTTTTTCACTTATTACTAATGTTCGTTACTTGCTAACACGTACTCGTCGTACCATAGGAACATCGTACATCAAGTTTAAGAAAGCATTTGTTATATGGACGAATGTTCTTATCCACGCAATGATTTTATAATTAATTTCTTTTAACAGTTGTGGCATGTTTTCTATTACTGGAGGAGGTTTTCTAAAAAATGTATTAAATTTTAATTTCCAAAACGTATTAATTTGATTTTAAAATCTTATTTCTTAATATGTATACAAAAGTTTTATTAATTTTATTTATATAAATAATTAATTTTCTTTTATAAAATATAAACTATATGTTATAAATATTGTTCAAAAATCTATCACAATATATCACAAAATAAATCACCAGATCTTGATACATACTTATATGTTTTTGTGTAGCAATATCTTATTACGACATATTTATGTAATACTTACTTTTCGCTATTTAATTGCTTCGTCTGATTTGTGTAAGTATACATGTAACATGCCGGATAAGAACTCGTAGTTTTTATTCGATGAAACTTCCCTGTTCCGACAGAGATCGATTTTTTCTTTGACACAGTGATCACATCCATCGATTCTTCTTCCCCATAAGTTACCTCGCCTTCCAGCACCGTCAAAGAAACATTCATGAAATCAGTGGATATGTAGTTTTCCAAATACATTCCTGGAAAATCGGCCACGAACAATACATCCGTATAATTTGACCAAGTGTATACATGCTGTTGAATTTCATCCATTTTATGTCTGAAAACCATAAAAAACAGAATAATTGAAATAAGGAAATAAACACATTGCTAAGTATGTGTTTAAATTAAATCTTAATATTTATAGGGGGACAATACTTGCCAAAAAATATTTATCTTTGTAGTAAGCAAAAGCAATTTTTTTGTTGTTTTTGTTTACTAAAAAATTATTTATAAGTGAAGAATCTATCGATATTTATTTTAGCGGTATACGGTATTTTTGACGGGGGAGAGGGTGGGGGAAAAAAGGAGTAGAAGTACTATATTTGTGTTCAAAGCTGCATATATGTATTTTCATCTTCAGTTTATAAATATAATTTATTTATATAGATTCCGAATTTATCCCTATTTTTTACACTGAATTTATCCCTAAATTAATTTTAAAGTGAACGTACTGCAAATTTTACTCACTCCTGGATTGTTAGCTATAAATTTTGAATAATTTTTCTCAATCTCTCTCGGCTGACTAAGATAGTTACCAATTAGCAATAATTAATAATTTTATACTTAATATTAGTAATTAATAATTAATATTATTACTAATTATTTTTTATAACGTAATTAATTTATATTATATTTATGACATATTTTTTTAGCGAATATCAATACTATTACATTTTGTAATAAATTAATTTAGACTGAAACAGACATACCTATACGAACTATATTGCGTGAGTAACGGCATTAGAAACGAAACAGGTTTAAATGGATGCCAATCAACTGTCAACATATCGATGTTTGGATTAAATATTCTTTGTTGAAATCTGCCGTTTAGCGAACACCACACGTCTATATAAACGCTGAAATTCGTAGACAATTCCATCCATTTTTCCATATCTTCAGAATAATGCTTGGTTCTCAATTCTTCTTTTCGACGCATCAGATTATTCTGAATTTATATATAAATAAATTATATTTAATAAATATAATGGCATAAAAATCATTATTGACAGAAAAATTATTGGGAACTTTAAGGTAGATATTTATTTATGGCACTTTAAAACCTTTAAACATTGCGAATATTGTATCGCCATGTCTCCGTGCTTCATCCATCGATCATTTTGCACCCAAGCAACAGGATCTAAATACCGCACTTCATCGTTTGCGTTATCGTGCACTTTAATTACTACATGTATAGTGTCCCAGCTATGAACCATCATGTCCCAGGAATAACCATATAGACCTGGTACCCAATTGTTATAGCCCTGAAGTTACATTTTTGTAATAAAAATATAATCATACGACAATTTATATAAATTTAGAAAATCTTGCAATTAAAAACTTTTACCTATTGCATATATTTTTGCAGAATTAATTTATTAATTGCAAAAGTAAACATGTCAGCAGATTTAGAATTATTTTTTTTATATAAGTAATTAATATTAAAAAATAGTAATTAATTACTTATTTTGAATATTTAAACTACTTTGCTGTTATTTAGTGCTTAATAAGTATTTAATCACTAAATTTTCTATAAGAGTAATATAATAATGCTAGTATTAGTAAGTGGTACCTTTGATATAAAATGTGAGTATGGCAGAAAAAACTGCAGTAGAATGTGACATAGTAATAGCGATGCTACAAACTTTTGTTTTCTCGTAGTTTTCGGTGATTGCTGAGCTATCCAATTTTTTTTACAAACGTTGGTCGCTCCTTTTTCATTAACTTTAATTGAATTCTTTAATGATTGCGTATCATTATCTTTTTCATCAGTTTTCTTTTCAGATTTTGATTTAATAAAACACTTTTTGTCTTTTTCCTTGTTCATTACTTTTTCTGAAAATAGTTGTAGATATTTTAAACTTGTATTGAATTATTATTGTAAAAAAAATGTTATTTACCTTTATGCATTGTTTCATTAGAAACAATTTCATTTGAAGACAATTTTAAGTAGTTGGGCTTCACAGATTCTTTTACTTGACTATCAGTCTCTTTTACGCTTTTTACGTCGATTGAATTTGCATTAATCGGTAAAATCTTTTGTTTCAGTCCAAAGTACAGCTCTAATTTACGTGGCCAATCTGCACGGCAAAAGAGTGGCATCGTTGCCAGGCACACATACGGAAACATTCCTGAAAAGATCTTTTCTTAAAATTCAATATAATAGTGCAACGAAAATCTTTGAATAGTCTTATCAATCCATATCCAAAATTTTTTAAATTAATTTATTTCAAATAATAATTATCATTTGTTTTAAATAATAATTACCTATATTAAATAGTCTTGAGTTCATTAAATGAAAAGTTGTGCAGAAGACCATGGACGGTATACGTGTTTTCTCGAACAGCATCCAAAATCCAACGGACAGATCGAAAATAAAGCCGAACCAATGGACGATTAGAAAGTCAATCTGTTCAGTGGACAGAAATATTCTGAAAGAGACCGTTTTCTTTACTTGTTAATCGAGAAATATAATTGTTTTTTATACTGGATCTACGGGAGGGTCAATCTTTTTTTTTTCAAATATTTATAGCAAATTGTTATATATTTTTTCAATATTTCTAAAATGTTTAATCACAATTTTGATATTTTAAAAATATTTTAAAAATTATAAAGTTCTTAGTTATAAAAAACGTAAATTCTATACATTATTTTTTTGTGTTAATATAATTTTAACTAAAACGTTTTATAAATTTAATATATTTAAGTATTTTATATATTTAAGTAATATTTTTTAATGTAATAATTTAAATAATAATTTAACATTTTATTTTTTTATATTTGATATTAAAAAAAATTTTGTTTGTAGAACGTTAATGATTTTTCCCTTGACAAATCTCTGTATCTGCCACTGTTTTTTTAATAAGTTAAATTAAATCTTAATATATATATATATAAGAGTATAACATAATTTACTTTATAAATTGTACATACATCTGTTTGTTAAATAAATTAGGCGTCAATTACTATCGGATTTGAAATACAATCATGAACCAAAGCTGAAATATGTAATAATAACTCCAATCAAATTCGTTAAGTGTAAAGTAAATTGATCGTCAATTCTTACTTTATAACAGTACTATTTTCGTTTGCTA